CCCAATGCATACAACCTCTTTCTCTCATTTGCTCTTTTTGCTTGAGGACAAGCAAAGGACAAGTGTGGGGGAGTTGATATGTCCATAATTTGCATCATCTAGGTTGCATAAATCATTCCAAATCATGTTTTATTTCATGCATTTTAGGTCCTTAGGGTTTGTTTTAGAACTTAGGAGATGCATTAGGTCCAAATGAGTCTTTGCATGTTTTGAGTGTTTATCAGGTGAATTTGGAGCTGAAAAGATGAATCCAGGAGGTGGAATGGTGAACAAAGCTTGAAAAGTGGAAAAATTGGGTCTTTGGAGGATATTGGCCATTCTCGCTGGCCAGGAAGGTATTACCGACCATTTTCATGTACCGCGGGAAGCTTTACCGGCCATTTTCATGTACTGCGAGTGAAGTGTATCGGCCAAAATCTCCGGGTGCAAACATGTCTCAGAAATCACCTGTCCGGGGAACCTTCCGGTCCGATTCAGATGGCGGGTGCTTCATAGAAGTTGGACAGCATTGGATCACGGTCTCATAGCAAGTGGAATCGTGGAATTCGGACGCGTGAGCAGAGAGTTAAGCTCGTCGGAAGGAACCCCTATCTCGCAGGTATTCCGGACCGAGCAGATCAGTTCTGAAGGATGCGAAGGACGGTGCACATCCAGGCCGATTTGAGTCGTCTTTCCAGAACGTCCAAGAGCATTCAATTCGGATCTATGAGCAGGAAGATACGGTCTCCGGAATGGACACATGTCTAGACGCCTCTCTCTGGTCGTGTACATGCACTGCAAAGATGTGCCCTCCAGGAAGCCTTACACTTCCCAAGCACCGAAGCTTCCTTCACCAAAGTTGGAGATAAATGAGTCCTATGTCTTCTGCAACCGAAATCATTCAATTCGGACAAGTGTCCAGGAAGTTACACTCTCCGGAATGCGAGATGGTTCAGACAGCCCAGAATGACTAAGTTAAACATGCCGCGATGGAATGCCACGATCCAGACTTGGCCGTGGCAACTTTTGTGCACCCTCGGCAAATGACACGATCTTCATGCCACGGTCTACACTTGACCGTGGCAAACATACACTTGGCTGAGAAGAACTTTGCAACCATTCGGCGATTGACACGGCCTTAATGCCACGGTCTGAGGCTTGACCGTGGCAACTCCTGCAAAGCTTCGGCGATTGGCACGAGCTGAATGCCACAGTCTGGGACTTGACCGTGGCAAATGAACAATTGGCTGGAGACAACTTTTACACGGCTTCGGGTTTTGGCATGGTTTCAATGCCACGGTCTGAGACTTGACCGTGGCAAACAAATACTTGGCTGGGAAAGATTTCACATACATGCGGGTTTTGACACGATCTGAATGCCACGGTTTAGGAGCTTGACCGTGGCAACATTTACACATCTTCGGCGTTTGACATGGTGACTTGCCACGGGTTCCAGACGAAGCTTGATCAGACCGTGGCATCAAAAGGAACCAAGAACACAAGTGAAGACTTTGACACGGTCAGGATTGCCACGGTCACACCAAGAACACACCAGACCGTGGCAAACCCATCTTTGCCCACCAAGGCCGGGTCAGTACCCGGTTTGTTCCGGGTTGACCCGGTTCGCCCAAGCCTCCTTTATAAGGTTTTTAGACCTAATTTGTAGAGAAGGGGGAATCTACTTTTAGTCTTATTTCCCCTTTGGTGAAAACCTACTGAATACACTTTGTTTTAGAGAGCTTAAGATCGATTTTGAAGTTTCTTTCCATCTTGTTCATCATTTCTTATCATCAAATCAAACTTCTAATCATGATTAACAACACATCTTGCAAAGGATCTAGTGTGTTGATTATGATTAGTGAGTAGTCACCTTAATGAGGTTCTAGATGTGTAGGTTAGGGTGCTAAAGTGTTAGATTAGGAGTTCTTAAGGCTAGATTCATTGATTCATTTCTCTAAACAACTGTTCTCTATGCTAGATCCTTGATAATCACTTGAGATCTAGATTCTGGGAATTTCATGCACCAAAAGTGTTTGATGAAATTCCTGAAAGAGTTGTATTAGAGGTTTAAGCATTTTTCTGCATGATGATGTATTGTTATTTGCTTGAATGATCATTGAGAACTGTTTATTAATGCATATTGATTCATATTTCACAAATGGGAATTTGGTTTGAAAATGGATTAGTATAGGGGTTAATACCTTCATGAGAGGATTAACCTAGATTAGAGTTCTTAATCATTTGAATCATGTCTCATCATTGTCATTAGCATTTCTAGTTTAGCACCAAAGCACCCTAACCAACTATCATGTCTAGAATCTCATGCCTCCATCATATCATATTCACATCATTTGTCATTGTCATTTGTCTTTAAACCTGTTTAAGTTTGTTAGTTGTCATTAGTTAACAAAAATCACTCTTGTTTGCTTGAATTAAGAACTTGATCACATAGTTTAGTGTCTAACACCACATCTGGATTGATAAACCTCTTTGTGCTACATTGACAAGGGGATTGATAACCCTGAGACCCTAAAAAGTCTTGTCTATCGGACCTTACCCAGTGATACCTTACTCGCACATCTCAACACGCAGCTCAACCCCCAGGAATTAATCTCCAGGCATTACGAGTTAACCAAGTCGCAAGACCATCTCGCAGGCCTCAGGTCTCCTTGGACCACTTCACATTCGTGGGAGAGTAACTCCCAAGAGACTGGTCCAAATGGTGCGATTCCAACTTCAGTGGACCGAAACCTCAGACATCTTCAACTTTGGTAAAGGAACCTTCGGCGTTTGGGAAGTGGAAGGTTCCCTGGAGGGCTCATCTTCGCAGTGCATTGACACGGTCAGAGAGAAGCTTCTAGACATGCGTCCATTCCAGAAACGTTATCTTCTTACTCATAGCTCCGAATTGAATGATCTAAAACGTTATGGAAATAGGACTAAAATTTCTAGGATCTTGATGAAGGCCCTGTAGACTGAATCAGTCTGGAATTGCATCGTCCTTCGCATCTTCGGAGCTCGTTGGGTCGGTCCAAAACGGCAGCGAGACAGGGGTGCCTTACGACGAGCTTAACTCTCTGCTCACGGCTCCAAATGATATGATTACCCCTGCTCTGGAACCATGATCCAATCTTCTCCAACTTTGATGAAACACTCGACAACTGAATCGACTAGAAAGACCTTCGGGTAACGCGATTTCTGAGATGGGTCTTTACCCGGAAATTTTGGCCGAGAAACCTTAGCAGCGGTACGCGTTTTGGCCGAGGGGCTCACTCGCGGTACATGGAAATCGCCGATAAAAGTTGCCTGCGGTACATGAGAATCGCCGAGAACCTCCAAAAACCCATTTTCACCATCTTTCAAGTCCTGATCGCCATTCCTCTTCCTGGATCCACCTTTTCAACTCCAAATAGCTCCAAATACACCTGATAAACACTCCAAACATGCAAAGACTCATTGGGACCTAATGCAACTCCTAAGTCCTAAAACAAACCCTAAAAACCTAAAATGCATGAAATAAGATATGATTTGAAATAAAATATACAACCTAAATGATGCAAATTATGAACATATCAAGAGCATTATCGCGCCTCCATCTGTGATTGTTTACAATATGTTTGAGTAGTTTCCCAGTTGGGCTTAAAGGGATTTTTCAAAGAGAATTTCGTGTTTCTTATCTATGAATCGATAGATTTAACATTTATAATCTTCTAGATGTTCTTTGTTTGCCTTTAATCTTACTGCGTGATTCTCTGCTGGCACCTAAAAGCCGATCTGATATGATTTGTTGCGAAATCTTTCATTGATTATCTGACCTAGGGTGAAACAAGCAATGATTCTATAGGAATGGAAACCTACCTATAGATGAGTTATGAATGTTGATGAGTCTTGTTCAATTATTGCATCTACTCCCTTCGAGGATTAGAGTGGAAACTTACTGGTTGGGTTGCGAGAGATAGTTGTTTATTGCTGCGAAAGTAGGCTATTCATACATCTGTGCCTTGATTTCTAGAACATACGTAGTTCTTTAACTTTATCATTTACTTAATTTCAATATAGGTTTAGTCCATGAATCCCTGTGATACCCTTGAACCCAGCGTTTGTTTACCATTGTTTATAGTCTTCGATTTTACTCGCTTTTTCCCTGCTTTCATTCGACTTTGATTTTTACTTACTTGCTAGATTTAGTGACACCCAAAACCAAAAAACCCAAATTGTTTAGTTCTAGTCTGATTTAAGCATTAGTGTGAATTCGTACTGAAAGAACTAAGTCTCTGTGGATCGATACCCTAAGTACTACAGCGCATATCTGTGCACTTGCAGACATTTAGGGGTTATAAATTTAAAACCTGAAGCTTAATAAAAACAACCAACCCCGTTTAAAATCACATCAAGTTTTTGGCGCCGTTGCTGGGGACTTTGATTTGATTCGTTGCAAATCTCAGCTTAAATCCATTAGAACACTTGTTTACTTTTACTTTTTCTTTTGAACTTTTCAGGTTTCTTTGTATCGAGAGACTGGGAACGTGTTCCCGAGACTCTCGGTGATCCGCCATATCGTATGGATGGTGACCCGATTGAAGATGACCTGAGCGAAGAAGAGTTTGATGATCGGATTGTAATGATGATGAGCTAATTGGATCAGCAAGACGTGAAGATGATGATGAACTTATCAGAAGTTTTGATTCACTCGAAAAGTTTTTGGGATATCGAAGAGCTATTCAACCAGCCTTACCAGAGGATGGTAAAACCTAAATAAAGGTACCCTACATCCACCTAGTTTAACAAAATCAATTTTATGGTTATTCATCCGAACACCCGATGGACCATATCGAGACATTTGAAGAATTATGTGCAACCATTACAGCAAATGGGCATTACCACAAGTGTAGTCTTTTCTCATTCTCTTTGAGAGACAATGCCAACAAATGGCTAAAATCTTTAGAACCTGTTTCATTAAAAACGTGGAAAGAGTGTAGAGAGGCTTTCCTAAATTGTTTTTACACTAGAAATCGTTCCAATCTCTTAAGGAAAAGATAAGAACTTTTGAACAAAAAGAAGATGAAGATATTTTAGATGCTTAGGATAGATTTAGAGAATACTAAAGAGATTGTCCACACCACGGAAATTCCGACGAATACCTGATGGGTATCTTCTGTCGAGGTGTAACTCAAGAATTGCAACATTCTTTCGACACTGCAAGTAATGGAGATTTCTCTACTAGATCTGTAGAAGATGCTCGTGTTTTCATCAAGAACCTGGCAGGAAGTATTCGTAATCAAGCAATCTTTGGCAAGTCTGCACTTCCTGAGAAGAACTAAAAGATCTCAGAAGTTATGAAGTGTCTCCATCAAATAATGAGTCAACTTGGATTGCAACAACCAAACAAGGCACACAATACGTGCAACTTTGATGGTTGGAACAACCCAATGAAATCTTATAATCAAGAGATGGTGAACACTGCAGAAGTCTATAAAATTCAAGATTTCCCTTTCGTACCTGATCACCGTGGGTCCATTCTTTCGGACCACGGCCAAGACCCATTCCACCATGGTCACGAGTCATACAACCGCAGGAAATCTTCTTCCGAAAAAATCTTGGCTGTTCAATCTAATTACATTCCCTATCCTAGTTTCCCTCTTCTGAAGCTGAAAATCTAAACAAAAGGATTCTAGAGCTTGAAAAATCTAAGTCTAGGGAAATCAGAGATCTTAGCTCTGAAATAAAAAAGATGCAAGAAGATTTCAATGATAAATTTTCCACCCTCCTTAGTCTAATGATTAAAGATAAGTCTAAGAACACAGATAATTCTGAGTAGGAGTCAAGTGAAGGTTCTTTTGAAAGCTCAAGCGAAGCCGACCCCTTCGATCATGTGAAAGCTATCACACTTAGGAGTGATCTAGCTTACAAAGAGCCTGAATTTCCTAAAAATCCCGAAGATGAGGAAAAGGGTAAAGAAAAGGAAAAAGAAAGAGAAAGAGTCACGATTGAAGATGTTGAAAAAAAAGTGGTATGAGAGAAGATACATCCCGAGAAGTCCTCGGGTGAAGGCCCGATTCTCCCTCCACCAACACGTGTCTATAAACCTAAACCACCATATCCTAGAGCCTTAAGAGCCCCGTAGAAGGATAAAAAAAAAAGCTAAGCTGAAAGAGCTAATCGATCAATTAAATGTGAGATTACCTTTCGTAGAAGCTTGCGCTATGATTCCCGCTTTAAGAAAATACATGAAGGGTATTCTAACAAATTCTTTAACTCTTGAAGAAGGTGTTATGATGATAACCCATGGATGTAGTTCTATCCTGCAAAGCCGGATTCCTCAAAAGAAAGACGATCCTGAGAGCTTTGTACGTTCCTGCACCATCAATAATGTAGGTTTTGAGCGTACTCTCTGTGATTTAGGATCTAGCATAAACATGATGTCTCTTTCAGTTGCAAAACGTTTAGGACAACACACTTTCCAGCCCAATAAAATTGCTTTAGTATTAGCTGATGGTTCTGTTAAACAAACCGTAGGTATCTTAATAGTCGTTTCTGTCAAAATCGAAAAACGTTCTAGAACTAGAAAGAGAACCTAGGTATCCCCTTATTCTTTGACGACCATTCCTATCTACAGCCGGAGCCATAATCAATGTTCCTGAAGGAAAAATCGATCTTCATCTAGCCGGTGTAGTTATGCAATTTGACATGAGCAAAAGTTTCAATAAACCAAATTTTGGATGGCAAAATTTTTTGGATTAATGAGTTAGACAAATTATCGAGGAAGTCTATGAAGATTTTCTTCTCGACGACCCTTTAAGTGTCACGTTTTCACCCACAAAAGATGAACGCAATTTCCTTGAAGAAATTTCAAGTGAGTGAGCGCGTATGCTTGATAAGTCCGAAACTTATAGGAAACCTCTAAACTATCTAAATCTTGAGGACCAAACAAACATTCCTACACCTCCTAAAGACACTGCCACAGCAATAAATGATCCGTGGAGCGACCTTAAAGCCCCTAAAGTCAAGCTTAAACCTCTTCCCGTTGGACTTAAGTATGCTTTCCTTGGACCAAATTCTACTTATCCTGTCATTATAAACTCTGATTTAACGGAAGAAAAAACCACAATGCTGTTGTCTGAGCTGAGAAAGCATAGAAAAGCCTTAGGATATTCATTTGATGACATACCTGGAATCTCTCCAGATATTTGTATGCACAAGATCAATCTAGAGGATAATGTTAAGAACTCAATCGAAAGTTAAAGGAGACTAAACCTACACCTCATGAATGTTGTCAAGAAGGAGATTATGAAGCTTTTAAAAGCTGGAATAGTATTTCCTATTTCAGACAGCACTTGGGTTAGCCCAATTCATGTTGTCCTGACGAAAGGAGGAGTCACTGTCATTAAAAACGACAAAGACGAGATGATCTCTACAAGAACAGTCACTGGACATCGTATGTGTATCGATTATCGGAAACTGAATGCAGCATTTAGGAAAGATCATGCTCCACTTCCCTTCATAGATCAAATGCTAGAAAGGTTAGCTAATCACCCCTACTATTGCTTACGAAAACTCGAAGATCTACAAAGAGAAGAATAAAGCATATCACGAGAAGAAGATTATTCATCGAACTTTTGCTCCTAATGATAAAGTTCTTCTTTTCAATTCTCGCCTTAAGCTTTTCCCAGAAAAATTACATTTAAGATGGTCCGGACCCCTCACGATAAAGGAAGTCAAACCATACAGAGCCATTGTCTTATGGAATAAAGCTGGAAATTCAATTACAGTAAATGGACAGCGTGTAAAGCCATATCTCGCAGAAGAAGGAGAAGACGAGAGAGAAGTGATGGTTTTGACCGATGCACCTTCATCAAAGAAGAAAGAGATCAATGAGTGTCACTACCCTGAATTAGTCTAATTGATCAACAACGTCAAGCTAACGACTTAAAACAAGCGTTTACTGGGAGGCAACCCATTTGGTATTTTATTTATTTCCCTTTGACGTTTATTTTCTATTTCCTTTGCTTTGTTTTTGTTTCATTTAATTTCAGGTTTTTAATAAGGATGAACAAATACAAAAGACGAGCAGCATTCTCCAACACGATAAGTACACGTAAACAATTCAATTTTCTATTTTCTTTACCATTCTTTCCAAGATTTATCACACTGAGGACAGTGTGAAATAAGTCTGGGGGAGGACGTTCATCCGTTACTAACGAAATTTGATTTGTTTTTGTTTTGGACACATAAAATTTTTCATAAAAAATTTCAAAAATCTTTTTCAAAAAGTTTTTCAAAAAAAGTTTTCAAACCAGCAACATAAATAAAACAATACTATGATGATTTAGACCAGTGTGCTTCTACGCTATTTCCTCGTTTTTTGCTCTTTTGTGATTTAGGCTTTGACTAGGTGGTAGCTAGAATACTTGCATTACGAACTCCCACCTGAGGACTTCTATTCATGGAGATTCTTTATGATAGGATATACTATCTCATTTTATCTGGACTTATTTTGACTTAATTTTCTCATTGAAGCATAACATCAGGGAAATAAATCATACATTCAGGACTCCTTTACCTTTTTACCACTATTTATTGATCTTGAATGGCTAGTTCATCTTTACCAAGTTCTCTACCTTCACCCATCCTTTTTCAAACCATACGCACTCTGGTTTTTTATTGTCTTATATGCAGATATATGCAAAAACGTCGGAGAGAAAGAGGATCATCGCGGTTTTTGATAACACCTGATTTTGACCACTTTTCACCATTGATTTCAAATACTTTTTCAAAGTTTTTACTTTTTTTTAGGAACTTTTATTATGATTTCCATGTATTTGTAGCTTCAAGGCTCTTTTCAGGAAACTTAGAGAATATGATGGCAAAATGGAAGAAATCTACATTTTAAGCTCAGAGTCAGACTATCAGAAGTTCAGCCTCAAATGAGGACTTTCTCACCGTCCGATCCAGCTCAAATTTAGTGACAATCAAGAGGAGACAACCAGCTTTCCATAGCACTTTATATCACAAAGGTCCAACGGTGCAATCAAAAGATACATGGAGAACAAGTTGACCCAGTTCACCGGTCCTGGAAGACTCTCACCCGCGGGAAACACATGTTTTACCTGCCCTGGAAGACTCTCACCCCCGGTGGACCTTAGGACGAGCCACAAGGCCCAACATCAAAGCCCACTTCGCTATTCCTCTTCAGAGAATCCCTAAATGAGACCTGGAAGACCTTAGGACCTATAAATACATTGTTTAGCAGCCCTAAACGGGTGTGTGCTCATGTAATGAGATTTTGAGCCACCAAACTTTGTTTTTCTAGGGTTAGGCGATGGAGATGGGGATTCTTCCCCAAATCCATTGTTCTTCCTCCTTTTTATCTTATTAACTTTTCTGTTTCATTCTTTTGCATTCTTCTATGTCTTTTATCATTCATTGCATCATGTATATTAGTCCCAGAGAGTCAAGTTGTTCGAAGATATCGACAAGCATATATATCGATTAGGATTTCTATTGTTCTTAGCCATATTCTGGATTTCATCTCTTCTAAGTCATTCGTAAAGCATGAGAGTAGATTCATGACCTATTCTCTGAGCCTAGGATCGATCAGAGCCACGAGAGTGCTGTATCAGATCATCCATACCTAGCTTCAGAAGAACATAGTCGCTATAGGAGTCGAAAGCTACCTATAGAGAAGATGTGAGCAGACGAATTCAGTGTCCAATGCATAATCTTAAGTTTAGCATGAGAGCGAGAATTAATTGCTAGATCTAAGAGATTAGTTGATTAAGGTGACGACAGTTGGTTAATTATACATGTGTCTTTTCTAGTTCAATGCAGATTCTCAGAAACAGATGAAGATAAATCGCCCGGAAGCTAGTTGGAAATGCCACCATACATCAATTAGAGTAAACCGGAGAAGTCTAAATCGTCACCTATGAGTTTAAGAGTCTTTAGTTTGAGTCGATATGCTTTAGATGTTCTTTTAACAATTCATCCTACATTGCATCTCTTGTGAATATTAGATTAGGTTTAGTTTAGGATCTTAACCAAAAACCCCAAATCTTTTATTGGTTTATGAGTTTGCTTACTTCCCAGTTTGTTGTTTCTTGCAGATTAGACATCGTTCCTGTGGATCGA